TACCCAGGCCCAGAGTTCAAGCCCCATGACCAAGCAAAAAAAAGAAGTATTTAATGGTAATCTTGAATTGTAAGTTGAGGTATATATATCAGGATCTTAGTGAGCAGTTACCTGGCAGGTTGTTTGTTTTTTTTTAATAACTGGTTTAAACCATAAACCTGTAACAACCATAGCTTCACTTCAATATTAGTTATCTTCCTTATAATGAATGATCCAATAAAAAAATGATAGGAAGTAGTTGAGACTTTTTTTGTTGTTTGTTTTTTTTTGTTGTTTTTTTTGGGTCCGGTCGTGGGGCCTGAACTCTGGGCCTGGGCGCTGTCCCTCAGCTCTTCAGCTCAAGGCTAGCGCTCTACCACTTGAGCCACAGCGCCACTTCCGGCTTTTTTCCTTTTTTTTTGCTTATGTGGTGCTGAGGAATCGAACCCAGGGCCTCAGGCATGCAAGGCAAGCACTCTACCACTGAGCCACCTTCCCAGCTCCTAGTTGAGACTTATTAAAGATTTTACTTTTTATTTTTTATTGATTTAAGAACACTAGTTTCTAGTGTCTTCAAGTGCTGGATTTTTTTGTCTTTTTTGTAGATGGCAGCTAAAAAGAAAGTATATCATTTAAAATATTCAGGTTTAGGGGCTGGGAAGGTAGCTCAGTAGTAGAGCACTTGCCTTGCAGGCCTGAGGCCCTGGGTTCGATTCCTCAGCACCACATAAGCAAAAAGAAAAAGGCCGGAAGTGGCGCTGTGGCTCAAGTGGTAGAGCGCTAGCCTTGAGCTGAAGAGCTGAGGGACAGCGCCCAGGCCCAGAGTTCAGGCCCCACGACCGGACCAAAAAAAAAAAAATTCAGGTTTACATGTTATGCTCTCTCTCACAGGGAGCCACCATACCTCACAGTTCAAAGTTTATTCCATAATTCAGTAACATTTACTGACATGTAATTGCAATTGACTATGCAATAAAATGATTTAAGGAGAAAAATAACTCACATTTACCTTGCATAGGCAATTGTTTATATTACTCTGCTTTTAACATTGTTCTTCAGTAAAATGCTCATATATGTGTAGAAATGTAACAGTTCAACATGTTGCTAGCCTAGGTACAAAGAATTACTTTGTGAAGATTTGTGGTTGTATTAAAAACTGTTTGCCATTGTACCTCAAAAAAAAAAAAGTTTTTACTACAAATAGCTAAATTTTAAAGTAAGTTTTAAATGTCTAGAATACAACTGACAGACTTTTTTGAACTGCTAGTTTTTTTTTTGAAGTAAAGCTTTTTTATGTTTCATTTGTCATTGTTAAAAAATAAAATAACAGAAAACAAAAATCCTCCAAATCTGAAAAGAAAAACCAAAGCCTTCTATTTATCTTTGTTTCCTGTCCTGGAGATCTTGATTAAAGAAAAATAAAAATTCTGTATTTGTTTTATCAGGTTCAGAGTATAACAGGGAACTGTAGAATCTCATTACCTAATATGCATAGAGTTTAGCATGTATATTAAGCTTTTTTTTTTTTTTTGTCAGTCGTGGGGCCTGAACTCTGGGCCTGGGCCCTGTCCCTCAGCTCTTCAGCTGAAGGCTAGCACTCTACCACTTGAGCCTCAGCCCCACTTCCAGCTTTTTCTGCTTATGTGGTGCTGAGGAATCGAACCCAGGGCCTCATGCATGCAAGGCAAGCACTCTACCACTGAGCAACCTTCCCAGCCCCATATTAAGCTTTATTTTGGTATCTAATCAAGATTTCTAACCACAGTCCATAAGAAGGAATGTGAGCGGGGCGCTGGTGGCTCACGCCTATAATCCTAGTTACTCAGGAGGCTGAGATCTGAGGATCGTGGTTCAAAGCCAGCCCAGGCAGGAAAGACTGTGAGCCACTTATCTCCAATAAACCACTAGAAAACCAGAAGTAGCACTGTAGCTCAAGTGGTAGAACACTCGCCTTGAGCTGAAGAGCTGAGGGACAGCGCCCAGGCCCAGAGTTCAAGCCCCACGACCGACAAAAAAAAAAAAAAGGAATGTGACTTTAACATTGGATGCAGCTGATGAGCTTGAGTGTCTGCAACTTTCTTCTTTTTGTAAATAGGTCATGGGATTTGAACTCAGGGCCCAGGTACTATCCCTGAGCTACCCCTTGAGTTCTTTTGCTGAAGGCTAGCCCATTACCACTTTGAGTCACTGCTCCACTTCCAATTTTTGATGGTTGACTGGAAATAAAGAGTTTCATGGGGAATTTTTTGCCAGGGCTGGCTTTAAACCACAACCCTCAGATCTCAACCTCCTGAGTAGCTAGGATTACAGGCAAGAGCCAACAGCAGCCAGCTTCCAACTTCTTTTCCTTTCAATTATATGATACATTTTCTTTTGTTATAGTTCTCTTTGATTAACAGGCATGCAGTGGGTATTTCTTGGACATATTTGATTTTTATTAAAATATATCTGGGAGAAAATTTTAAAAAGGAAGAAGGAAGGGGAAGAAGGAGGGAAGGTGGGAGAGAAGTAGGCAGAAAGGTGATATGCTTTGGGAAAATGGCTGACCAGACCTCAGGGTAGTGGCAGAATAAATATCATGTGAAAAGCTACAGTTGGAAAAGTCCGCCCATTCTGATTAAAATAGAACATTACATATATAAGGGAGATTTTTTTATGTTAGAAATTAAAGATAAAGTGAATGAATATATTCAAGTATCATTTATAGAGAGTGAGTTTTACAATACAAGACATCAAGATATTACATACATCCTAACAGGTTCACTATGAAATACAAATAAACATCATAATTTTTTTTTCTTAATGTACCAGTCCTGGGGCTTGAATTCAAGGCCTGGGCCCTGTCCCTGGACTTTATTTTTTTTGCTCAAGGTTACATGGACTTTCCTGCCCAGGCTGGCTTCAAACCTCAGGTCTCAGCTTCCTAAGTAGCTAAGATTACAGACATGAGTCACCAGTGCCCAGCCTCATAAAATACCCTTACAATTCTCAAAAATATGCTTAACTTGAATTTAACAAAATCTATACATCTAACTTTCCAGTTTGTAGCAAATATAGGGGTCAAAGAAGCAAGTTAACCTCCAAGGAATAAACATATTCAGAAAACATTTTACAGACATTTTACAGAACTACTGACTCTGCTTCATAATATCAATGCCATTAAACAGGCCTGATTTGCATTCTGATTTGACACATCAACAATAAGAAGAATCCAGGTATGGTGGCACGCACTAGACTTCCCAGCAATTTGGGAAACAAAGGCAGAAGGGTTGACTTTAAGCCCCACCCAAGTAAAGTCACCCTATCTCAAAATAAAATAAAAACAAAAGGTCTGGGGAAAGTGGTAGAGACTGCCTAGCAATTGAAGAGACCCTGGATACAATCTCCAGTACCACATTTTTTTTTTTTTTAATTTTGAGAACCAGAGAAGTCTCAATATGAACTAGTTTTACTTTACTTTGCTATATTTTATTTTTGGCAGTACTGGGGTTCAAACCCAGTTTGCTTCCTCCCCTGGTACTTTGCCACTTATGCCCTATCTCCAGCCCTGGTTTTTGCTGATTATTTTGGAGATAGAGTCTAGTGGATTTTTCTGACTAGGCTGGCCTCAAACAGTAATCTTCCAGATATCAGCTTCCCGAGTATCTAGGATAATAAGAGTGAACCACCAACACCTAGTTCAATATGGATTAAGATGACATATTATTTTGTTTTATTCTAGTGGTTAGGTAGTAATGGGTTTTTTTCAAAAAGATGTTTCTTTTTTATATATATATTTATGGGCCTAGTGAGAGAAAAAAAATTAATAATCTTAATTTTTCCAGCAGAAAAAAAAGAGAATAACTTTGGCAAAATGAGAGGAAAAAGAGAAGAGTAAGGAAGGCCAAGTGAGGGCTGGAGAGGGAAAAGTAGAAGAGAGGAGGAGAGAAAGGAAAAGAGAAACAGAGAAGGAAGGGTGTGAATGAAGGAGAAGATGAAGGAGGGAGGGAGGAAGGGACGGAAGAAGGTAGAGAAGGAAGAGAAGGAAGGGAAGGAGGGAAGGGAGGGAAGGGAGGGAAGGGAGGGAGGAAGGGAGGGAGGGACGGAAGAAGGTAGAGAAGGAAGAGAAGGAAGGGAAGGAGGGAAGGGAGGGAAGGGAGGGAGGGAGGGAGGGAGGGAGGGAGGAAGGGAGGGAGGGAGGGAGGAAGGAAGGACGGAAGAAGGTAGAGAAGGAAGAGAAGGAAGGGAAGGAGGGAAGGGAGGGAAGGGAGGGAAGGGAGGGAGGAAGGAGGGAGGGAGGGAGGAAGGAAGGAAGGAAGGAAGGAAGGAAGGAAGGAAGGAAGGAAGGAAGGAAGGAAGGAAGGAAGGAAGGAAGGGGAAAGGGAAGGGAAAGTGGAAAGGCAGAAGGGAAGGAAAAGGGAAAAGGGGAAAGAAGGGACAGGAAGGGGTGAGCCAACCTAGTTATTTGGGACATAGAAATTGAAGGATGAAGTTCTCAGCCTAAGCAAAAAAAGTTTACCTTGGGTAAAATTACATCTCAACAAAGGGAAGCTAGACATGGTGGTACATGACTGTCATTCCAGCACTTAGGAATCTGAGGCAGAAGAATTCCAAATTTGAAACTATCCTGGACTACATGGCAAGGCTATTTCAATGAAAAAAGAGGGCTACTACCATTAGGTACATAATTAGTTCCTCATATTACAACAGAAACAGCAAGATAATGATTGATAATACATTCTAGAAAAGAATCTGGCTACAGTGGCATGCAGTCTGATTTAACTCCTCTTTTGAGCTCCCACTGCACTCAGTACATACTGAGCTCACAGTACTGAGATACACGTTTGTCACCATCTGGTATATCATAGGTTTCTCAGGACAGCATTTTCATGTTTTACCTCTGTATTGGCGAATCTCAAGGAAAACAATCACTGTAAAAGTCTGTTAAATATTCTTTAATATTTATTTATAACATTAACCCCTTCAGCAAATCCAACCCAGTTCTTACACACAATCCCATCAGGTCCTTAAGATCTTCTTACCTTGTAATAATGTTCCAAGAGAATCCTGACTACTCCCTCCACACTTTCTGCCTCCACAGGCTTTCTGGCAAACTGAAGAAGGTACTGCAGAGCATCGGCCGGGGAGGTTGCTTTACAGAGGTCTATGTGCAGTGCTGCCGACTTACTTGGTTTTGTAAGTCGAAGTTTCTTAGTAGCAATTTCTTCCTGCTGCTGCTGTAACACAATACAAAAGGTAAGACAGGTAAGACATGCCAACCTGAAAAGAGTCTGCCGATTTACGTCTGCCTCATTTGCTGAAAATAATTTTTCTGTATAACAAAAATATATTTAGGGGCTGGGAAGGTGGCTCAGTGGTAGAGCCCTTGCCTTGCATGCATTAGGCCCTGGGTTCAATTCCTCAGCACCACATAAGCAAAAAAAAAAAGCCGGAAGTGGCGCTGTGGTTCAAGTGGTAGAGCGCTAGCCTTAAACTGAAGAGCTGAGGGACAGCGCCCAGGCCCAGAGTTCAGGCCCCACGACAGGACCCCAAAAAAAAAAAAAAGATTATAGCTAACTGTCTTAGGAAAAACAGTATTTTAAACTAGAAAAAGAACATTGGCATCAGGGCTTAGTAATAACTTTGCCTTTCAAAATTAGCTCCTACAACTTAGGGCAAATCACTGACTTTCTGTCTCAGTTTCTCTCTCTGCAATACAGGCCCACCATCTCTGAATACTGTGATAGTTTTAAGGTTAAGAGGGCACACAAATGATCTACTCTAGCTATCCTTGATCAGAAGGAGCTTAAGGCAGCACCCAGGTCCAAGGCCCAGAACCAGTTAAAAAAAAATCTACTCCATTCTATAAAAAAGAACTATCAGGACACAATGGTATGTGTCTATAATCCCAGCACTGAGAAGGCTGAGGTGGGGGCAAAAGGATCACTTGATTCTGAAAGTCTGAGAAAAACACAGGAAGCATAGCAAGACTACACCTCAAAAGGAGGATAGGAAGCCAGGTGCCAACAGCTCACACCTGTAATCCTAGCTACTTAGGAAACTGAGATCTGAGGACTAAGGTTCAAAGCTAGTCCACTCAAGAAAATCAATGAACCTCTTATCTCCAATTAATCACCAAAAAGTTGGAAGTGGAGCTATGGCTCAAATGGTAGAACACTAGCTTTGAGCACAAAAGCTGAGACACAGTGCAGAGACTCTGAGTTCAAGCCCCAGAACCAGCGCGTGTGCGTAAGTGGCCCTTTGAATAAATGTCAAAATCCTTGAACTGTTTTGTAAATTCCAGCTGTTCCTCTGTATTCTTTTCTCCTGTCCCAACTGCATCACACTGGCTTCTGTCAGGGCACATCCTCCCTCACCTCTAATAAGATGATAGAAATACTGAGCAAGATAAATGTATTCATAAAATGACATGCTGATTGGAATCTCTTTTGTACAATTAAAGATTATAAAGAAAATAATATGAAGCCCGGGCCAGTGGCTCATGCCTGTAATCCTAGCTACTCAGGAGGCTGAGATCTGAGGATTGCAGTTCAAAGCCAGCCTGGGCAGGAAAGTCCGTGAGACTCTTATCTCCAATAAACTACTCAAAAAAACGGCACTGTGGCTCAAGCGGTAGACCTCTTGCCTTGAGCTGAAGAGCACAGGGACAGCGCTCAAGCCCAGAGTTCAAGCCTCATGACTGACCAAAAAGAAAAGAAAAGAAGATGAAAAGAAAATCTATAGATTGGGGAAAATATCTGCACATCACATATCTGACTTAACATCAGAAGATATAAAGAACTCTCACAGTATCAGACAGAAACTTCTGTCTGGAGATAACAGAACTGAAACTGAGCCACACATTACAATCACACTGGCAAGATTTTAATAGATGCTTCATGTCTGAGATGAAGAGATGAACTGAGGGGCTAGGAAGATGGCCCAGTGGTAGAGTGCCTGCCTTGCATGCATGAAGCCCTGGGTTCAATTCCTCAGCACCACATAAGCAGAAAAAGCTGGAAGTAGCGCTGTGGCTTAAGTGGTAGAACGCTTGCTTTGAGCTGAAGAGCTGAAGTGCCCAGGCCCAGGGTTCAAGCCCCATGACCGACAAAGAAAGAAAGAAAGAAAGATAGCTGGGCGCTGGTGGCTCACGCCTGTAATCCTAGCTACTTAGGAGGCTGAGATCTGAGGATCGCGGTTCAAAGCCAGCCCGGGCAGGAAAGACCGGGAGATTCCTATCTCCAATAAACCACCAGAAAACCAGAAGTAGCGCTAGGCAGTTATCTTCCTACAAATTCACTTTTGTCTGTAGAAGAGATTAGGATTATTCTAGCCAGGAATGTTGTATGGCATCACTAAAAAATAATAATGCCAGGCGCTGGTGGCTCAGTACCTAGTTACTCAGGAGATCTGAAGATCCAGGTTCAAAACCAGCTCAAGCAGAAAAGTCCTTGAGATTCTTATTGCCAATACATTACTCAGAAGTAGTCTTGTGGCTCAAGTAGTAGAGTACTAGCCTTAAGCAAAAAGAAGCTCAGGGATGGCACCAACAACCTGAGTTCAAGTCACACACACACACACACACACACACACACACACACACACAATAACAACAACCAAGGCCAAGTTTAAACCCTAGTATTGTTAAAAGAAGGGTCTGAAAAATAATATTCAAAAACAACTTAGTAGCTAAGAGTAGGATTTCTTTTCTTCTACAAAATAGCATACCAATACTATATCAAATGGGCATTTGAGCTGGGTACTGGTGGCTCATGTCTGTAGTCCTAGCTACTCAGGAGGCTGAGATCTGAGGATCATGATTCAAAGCCAGCCCAGGCAGGAAGATTCTTATCTCCAATTAACCAACAGAAAGCTGAAAGTGGCACTGTGGCTCAAAGTGGTAGAGTGCTAGCCTTGAGCAAAAGAGCTCAGGGACATTGCCCAGACCCCAAGTTCAAGCCCCATGACCAACAACAAAAAAGGGGGTGAGGAGGATTTGAGAAGCCTAAATCACATCTATCATGTCTTTATCATATGTATATGGCACTAAATCCACACAAGTTCTCATCAGTTCTCTCTCATTCGTCTGTATAGCTGGGGTTTCAGTTGGGACTTTTTTCTATTTTATTTTTTTGTTTGATCTGATTTGGGTTTTGGCAGTGTACTAGGCTTAGAACTCAGGCCTTGTAGACACTAAGTATTCTACCACTTGAACCCCACCAGCAGCCCTTAATTAGGTCTTAAAGTAGAACTGTAAGTCCACCAAACTTAAAAAAAAAAAAAAAAAGCTAGCCGGGCGCTGGTGGCTCTACGATTCAAAGCCAGCCCAGGCAGGAAAAACCATAAGACTCCTATCTCCAATAAACCACCAGAAAACTGGAAGTGGTGCTGTGGCTCAAGTGGTACAGCGCTCGCCTTGAGGTGAAGAGGTGAGGGACAGCGCTCAGGCCCAGAGTTCAACCCCACGACCAACCCCCCCCCAAAAAAAAAACAGCTAGATGCTAGTGGCTTGCACCTAGTTACCCAGGAAGCTGAGACCTGAGGATTGCAGTTTGAAGCTAGCCTAGGCAAACAAACTCGAGAGACAAGTCTTATTTCAAATTAATAAGCAAAAAAACAAAATTGGAGGCATAGCTCAAGTGGCAGGGCCCCAGACATGAGTGGAAAATGTCAAGCAAAAGCCCCTGAATTCAAGCCCCAACACCATTTTTAAAGAGAGAGAGAGAAAGGGAAAGAAGTAGAGGAGAGGGAAGAATAAAGAGGAGGAAGAAAGAGAAGGAAAGAAGAAAGGAAAAGGGAAGGGAAAAAATTATATGTAAAGAGAAAATAGGTATAGAAATTTTGAAGTTTTATTTATTTATTTTTTTGGGGGGGTCCAGTCGTGGGGCCTGAACTCTGGGCCTGGGCGCTGTCCCTCAGCTCTTCAGCTCAAGGCTAGCGCTCTACCACTTGAGCCACAGCGCCACTTCCAGTCTTTTCCTTATGTGGTGCTGAGGAATCGAACCCAGGGCTTCAGGCATGCAAGGCAAGCGCTCTACCACTGAGCTACCTTCCCAGCCCCAAATTCTGAAGTTTTAGAGATGTGCAAAGCTTGATATCCAGAAAGAAAGAACAAATAATGCTGGACAGAAAGGAAGTGACAGTAAACAACAATATCAAGTATATCAAGGCCAGCTTGCTTTCTTTTCTTTCCCTTTCTCTCTCTCTTTCTTTTTTTCTCTCTTTCTTTTGCTTTCTTTCTTTCTTTTTGTCAGTTGTGGGGCCTGAACCCTGGGCCTAGGCACTTTCCCTCAGCTCTTTAGCTCAAGGCTAGCGGTCTACCATTTAAGCCACAGTGCCACTTCTGGGTTTTTTTCTGCTTATGTGGTGCTGAGGAATCGAACCCAGGGCCTCATACATGCAAGGCAAGCACTCTACCACTGAGCCTCCTTCCCACCCCCTCAAGGCCAGCTTTCAATCAAAGCTATTATATACACAAATTTATACACATAAATCCTAACTTAGGTAGATGAGGGGAAGGGGAGAAAAAAAAGACAGCATGAATATACTGCAACGATCTATGAAGATAATATAATCTCAATGGAAGCTGTTAATAAATAGTAGCTTCAGCACATAGAGGAGCAGGCTTTGTTGAGGTAGTGGGTACCTCAGGGAGGAGGTTGGGCTAATAGGTGGGGTAAAGGATGATGAATATGATGGAAATAGGCTGCCTGTACACATGAAACAGAACAATAAAACTTGGTAGAAATCTTTTTTGGGGAGGAGGAGCAGAAGTTGTCCTGCACTGATAGCTACTCAGGAGACTGAGAGCTGAGGAGTGAGGTTTGAAGTCAGCCAGGAAAATCAATGACACTCTTTTTTGTTTGTTTGTTTTGGTTGGCCATGGGGCCTGAACTCTGGGCCTGGACGCTGTCCCTCAGCTCAAGGCTCAAGGCTAGCGCTTTACTACTCGAGCCACAGCTCCACTTCTGGCTTTTTCTGCTTATGAAGTGCTAAGGAATCGAACCCAGGACCTCATGCATGCAAGGTGAGCACTCCAGCACTGAGCAACCTTCCCAGCCCCATCAATGATACTCTTATCTCCAATTAAATACTAAAAAAGCTAGAAGTGGAGCTGTGGCTCAAGTGGTAAAGCGCTAGCCTTGAGCATAAAAGTTCAGGCTGCTGTCCCTGGACAGCACCCAGGTCTTGAGTTCAAGCTCCACAACTAGCACAAAAAAAAAAGAGGGGCTGGGAAGGTGGCTCAGTGGTAGAGCGCTTGCCTTGCATGCCTGAGGCCATGAGTTCGATTCCTCAGCACCACATAAGCAAAAAGAAAAAAGCCGGAAGTGGCGCTATGGCTCAAGTAGTAGAGCGCTAGCCTTGAGCTGAAGAGCTGAGGGATAGCGCCCAGGCCCAGAGTTCAGGCCTCACGACCCGACCCCCCCCCCAAAAAAAGAGGGGGGGTAAAGGAGACTGATGGGCAAGGTGAGACTGACTATAATATTTGTATGGAAATGTCACAATGAAAGCCCTCCTTATATAACTAAAATGAAGGAGAGGAGAAGAAGAGAAGGGAAAGAAGGGAAGGAGGGACAATGAGGCTGGAGAGGGAAATGGTCCTATCACAAAGGGCTGAGAAACTGTTTTTAGGACAAGGACTTTCAAAGGAACAGAAGACTTGTGTTGTCCATGCAATCCTCTATAATCATAGATGCACTGTTCTGGCTTCCCTATTACCAGTGAGCACCCAAAATACAGAGACCCTAATGTGTGTTGGATTTTTATAACCCCACACTTTTCATTGCGCCGATACACAATAACCATTTTTTTTAATTCATATCTTGCTGAATTAAGGAAGGAGGTGTTTAAGGATCTTTTTTCCTGGCTGAATGGGTTTAAGCTTCACTACTCTACAAGTCTAAGGATCTAAGGACAGATGAACTAGGAAGAATCTTGCCTCAATTCCCCCACCTGATATGTTAGCATCTACAGTCTAACCAAATCTCCCAAGTGGTCTGAATACAAAGGCTAGGAAGCAGAACACAAGAATGATTTCGAGAACAGCCTCTTCTTCAGCAACACTCAGGAGGACTGATTATTCTGACAGGGGCTTGGCCTTCGGGTCTTTAAATTCACTCCAACGGAGGAGAGCACTGCTCTCCTTTCTAGGTCTGCCACCAACCCTGGGAAGCCGGTGACACTCGCCTGTTTGGACAGGACCTTGAGTTTTCCAGAGCCCTCTTCCAGCACCATGACGCTCGGCAGACATCCCAACTTGTCCCTGGAAGTTTGGAGCACTGGAGCTTGGGCGGCGCCCCAACCCGAGGATGCAGACCTACCCGGGCCTGGCGTGGCGGCAGGTGGTGTGCAAACTGGAAAGGACTGTGTGTCTCTTCCCCGTATTGGCGTTTAAAGTGGGGCGGGTGCAGAACGTCTGCCCAGCATGCGTGAGGCCCTGGAGGCGAGGCCCAGGAGTCCCCAAAAGTGAAGGGGAAGGGGAAAATCACAGAGAAGTTAGCGGCGGCCGCCAGCGAACACGCCCACCGGCGAGCCGCCTCCACGGAGCTCCGCGGAGCTCCACGCGGGACAGTGACACCTTCCCTGTGAAATGCCCGGGGTCGGATAACAAACCCCGCCCCTACGTGGGTCCTGGCGTCTTCCCGATCGACGCTTACCTGAACCACTTTAGTGAACTCCTCATACACCCGCTTCTTCAGGTGCGCCGCCATGGTTGCCACCGAACCCTCGCGGCTTCCGTACGCCAGGAAGGCGGGGTGAAGAGATGCCGGAACAACACGCCGAGATCCCACGAGGCAGCGCGGGTTTCCGGGAAAGAGAGGCCCACCCCCCCAGCACCTGATTCCTGACGCATGCGCAGTCCGAAGGGGGCGGGGCCTCTGGCGAGCCAACCCGGTGGGAGGAAAGGGAAGGGTTGAAGGAGCCGTGCGGCCCAGAGTTGCAGGCAAAACCTGGAATGGCTTCCGGGACCGGCTCGAGAAATAACGGGAGGAGGCCGAGGTGAGATTCCCCACACTCTGTGTTATTCCCAGCGGTTGTTGCTTGGAACTCCGCTGAGCACGGCTTTAGTGTAAGCCCCTCCAAGGGTTACCTGTTCCCTGATTGTACGTATTCCGAATCTTTAAGGAAGCAAACCGTTGATAGCTGCCATGTCGTGGAAAGAATCCACCCACCCGAGCCACGAAGCTTCCGACCACTGCTCTTCAGCTAGAATACGTGACATCACCTTCAAATGCGCAGGTAATGCCTAAAGGTGACAAAGTCAGGACCACAATGGAATGAAACCGCTCAGAAAAGCAAGCTACAACCAGGCCCCGGTGTCTCACACCTGCAGTCAAGCGTAGCTACTCAGGAGGCTGAGGTCTGAGGATCGGGATTCAAAGCCAGCCTGGGCAGGGAAGTCTGAGAAACTCTTATCTCCAGTTTATCACTGAAAAAGCCGAAAGTGGTGCTGTAACTCTAGAGGTAGAGTGCTTGAGCAAAAGATGCTTCGGGACAGCACCCAGACCCAGAATTCAAGGCCTAGGGAACTACAGGGGAAAAAAAAAGAAGAAGAAAAGAAAGAGAAATAAAGAGCTAAAGGACACTCTCTGAGTTCAAGCCCCAGTAAAAGTACAAAAAAAAATTTTTAAGTCTGTATACATGTTGTGTTAATAAATCTAAGGTCATTTTACAACCTACAAGAATAAAATGAGGGGCTGGGAAGGTGGCTCAGTGGTAGAGCGCTTGCCTTGCATGCCTGAGGCCCTGGGTTCGATTCCTCAGCACCACATAAGCAGAAAAAAAAGCCGGAAGTGGCGCTTGGCTCAAGTGGTAGAGCACTAGCCTTGAGCTGAAAAGCTGAGGGACAGCGCCCAGGCCCAGAGCTCAGGCCCCAGGACCGGACCCAAAAAAAAAAAAAAGAATAAAACGAACAAAACGTTAATTATCTATTGTTCCTTTTTCCCCCAGCTCCCTGCCCCCCAAAAATGGGGAAAAGCAGCACAGAAACCCCAAATTGCTTAAGAGACCCATCTTTTATCCTCAGGTTCCCACAGTCTAACTGGGAAGACAGACACCCAAATTGCTAGTCACAGACAAAGAAAGCAGGATAAAGGTATATGATCCAAATAGGCTAGATTTCCTCAGGGTGCATCAGGGAATCCTTCTAAAATAATTGGTTTTAATCTGACCTTAAAAGAGTAAATTTTCAGACAGGCCTGTAATCCTAGTCCCTCAGAAAACTGACATCTTGAAGATCAACTTATAAAACAAGACCAGTCGGGGAGTTGGTGGCTCATGCCAGTAATCCTAGCTATTCAGGAGGCTGAGATCTGAGAATCACAGTTCAAGGCCAGACCAGGCAGGAAACTCAGACTCTTCTCTCCAATAAACCACTCAGAAAACCAGAAGTGGCACTGTGGCTCAAGTGGTAGAGCGCTTGCCTTGAGTTGAAGAGTTGAGGGATACTGCCCAGGCAGAGTTCAAGCCCCATGACCTACCAAAAAAAAAAAAAAAAACCCAGGCAGAAAGTTTAGGGGATCTTATCTCCAATTAACCAGCCAAAGCTGCAAATGCCAACCTTGAGAGGAAAAAAAAAAAAGAAAGCCAAGCAAGAACAAAAGACCCTGAGTTTAAGCCCCAGTACCAGGTTAAAGTAAGTTTTCAAAAAACAAAGGCTCCCAGACCTCACAGAAAATGAAAAATGAAAACTAATTAGCAAACAGTGCCCTCAATAAATGGTAGCTACTATTACCATTGCCATATTATATCACTATTACTATACACTAGTCTGAGAGCAACTGTAAAACAAACCATTAGCTGGGCATGGTTGTACACATCTGTAATGCCAGCAATCAGGAGACACAGGCCCTGAGTTCAAGCTCTAGTACCAGCACAAACAAAGACTTTTCATTTCAAATTATAGCATAATCTCTTTGGAAATACTAAATAACAAATAAGACAACTCATGTAGTATTATATAGAGAGCATGGTGGAAGAGATGACACATTAAGTTGCTATTAGTCAAGTTGAACACATTAGCAATTGTCCAAGAGCAATTTTAAGACATATTCCTTTTTAAGAGATGTTAAGTGTATATTATAGCATCAGTGATATAAAGAAACTAATAGCACTTGGAGAGTTGGAGAGCTCAGGTTTATCAAGACAACAGGCCCAAACTCTTGAGTCCCAACTGACAGGAATACAATCCTTTTATCAGGTAGAACACAGTCATTTTGAGTTTCAGTTTACCCCAGTGGTTAGTTTCTTGAAAATTACTTGGAAGCTGGTCCTGGCATTATCAGGTTAAGATAGCTCTGATAGTGGCTGAGATAGATAGGTAGGTAGGTAAGTAGGTAGATAGATATGCATATATACATATGTATGTATATACATACATCATCTTTTACCAAACTATGAGGGTCAGTACATATCAAATGATTACACACTCTGCTATCAAGCCTATAATTCTGGAGCTCTCCTGGTCTTGAGAACTATCCTTCAAATAGCTCCTGATGGGTAGGTCTGAGGAAACTGCTAACAGAGGCCCCAAACTGCCCTGGCCCTTAGTTCAAACTATATTTCCTCAAGGGAATCTTGGGGGCAAAATATGTAGTTTTCATCTCACAGAGTGAGTACCATCGTTTATTATGCTGGCATTAGGTTGTCTTTATAGGACAAGAATCATATATACAATCATCATCCATCCTACAGTTCTTTCTTAGTTTATTTCTGCCAGTCTTGAGGCTTGAACTCAGGGCTTACGTACTGTCCCTGAGCTTTTCTTCACTCCAGGCTAGCACCTACCACTTAAACCATACCTCTACTTCAAGACTTTTTTTAAAGTTAATTGGAGATAAGATTCTCACAGACTTTCCAGTCCAGGCTGGCTTTGAATAGTGATCCTCAGATACCAGCAATCTGACTATGTATGATTTCAGGCACTGGTGACCAGCAGGAAAGTCACAATCATAAAGGACTACAGGTGAATGTGTTCTCTGGAGGAAAATTTTATTATACTTATCAGGGAACAGATCTGTCTTATAAGTCACAGGAGAAGTTTTGTGTGTGTGTGTGTGTGTGTGTGGCAGTCCTGAGGCTTGAACTCAGAGCCTGGTGCTGTCCCTTAGTTTTTTTGCTCAAGGATAGCAGTCTACCACTTGAGTTACAACTCCACTTCTGGCCCTTGGGTGGAATTGGAGATAAGAGTCTCATTAACTTTTCCTGCCTTGGCTGTCTTTGAACCTCGATCCTCAGATCCCAGTTTGCTGAGTAGCCAGGATTACAGGCAAGAGTCACCAGCACCTGCCTGGCAGACACTTTTGTCACTCTGATCTCCAGTGTGGAAAGATGTGCTATCTTGATTACCCCAGAATGTAAGTAAATCTGCTCCCTGCTCCTAAGCAGCTTTGTAAACATCTTTAAACAAAGCTGTCAATGCCGTTTGCTCAGAAATACCAGAATTTCTCCCAGCAGTTTGTTGCATAGCAGCGTAGTTATCTGTTTTGCAATGGAATCATTTGCCACTAAAAATGCCTCCAGAATGACACCACATCAGGAACTCAGTATTGATCCTTGCTGTTGGCAAGTTAGACATATGACAGTGGCTCCAGGGTAGAGCATCCTTATTATAGTGAAGTATTTGGGGATGGGACATAGTCTCCATCCCTGTCACTGTAGTCATTTTGTTCATAATTCCATTGAGCAGGCACTGGGGATCTGGAAGAAGACTGACACCCATCCACAGGTTCAACCTTTGTGTCCATTTGTTTTTTGAGATCCTCTTCAAGAAAGGATGCCCTCTGGTGGGCATTTGTAAGAAGAACAAATATTTTCTTCCATACTAATTCCCCAGGTCTACTTGTCACTCATCTTGGTTTCTGACCAGGAGTAAACATGGGGATCAGCTGTGCAGGAAACTAGGCACAGCAGAGAAAGCTGGGCACTGGTGGCTCATGCCTGTAATCCTAGCTACTCAGGAGACTGAAATCTGAGAATTGAAGTTCAAAGCTAGCCTGGGCAAGAAAGTCCATGAAACTCTTATCAAGTATCAAAGAAGCTGTCACTCAAGTGATAGAGCACTAGCCTCAAGTACAAAAGCTCAGGGACAGTGAAGGAAAAAAAGGAGAAGTGAAGAATACAGACTGAGGAAACTTACTTAGAATAAGCACACCATAGGAAGGGGCAAAAGGAAGCGTTTCAGTTCATGCTTTAAATAGAGAAAGAACTGGGGCAGCAAGGGGAGAGAGATATGTATAATTGAATAGGCAAGATATGGTCTGGTTGATCATTATTTCAGTTCTGGTTCTAAAAGAGGTTCTGAAAAGTTGTTATGGTTGTTAGCACTTGAGGGGAGCAGTCTGGTTCCAATGAGAGGATCACTCCAGCTCCAGGGACAGGTGGCAGTCCTGAAAGCTCTGCTGTTCCTTCCTTGAGCAGGTGGGTGGAATGTTTTGGTCAATCAGTCCTATCACTCCTAGAACTCAAGGTGATTGTAGGAGATACTCCGTTGAAAGGAAACAGATGCAAAATGGAATCAGGGATGTCAAGTTTTATTTAGCTTTCAATTAACATGTGAATCCAAGAAAGGAGTCTAGGCTTTAATTTAGCAAAAACAATTTCTAACTATTTGTTATCTCCATGAAGGTAATCCACCATGATTTTAATCTTCCCTTTGCAAGAAATGAGAGGTGAGCAACCCATACAGGCTTAAGGTTTTATTAGAGGACAGACCAGCTGGGCTGCTCCAAGCAGCAATGGAGGCAGCA